CAGATCTTCATCAAGCATCCAGCTGCCAGACGCTTTCTGCAGGGACACCAGCTGCAGCAGAGGGTCTTTATGGGGCTGCACAGGTTTGGGGGCTGACCTTTCTGAATCTAAATCATCATCAGCTGTGAAGTGAAAAGAGCTTGATAAGTGGGTACATGAGGTGAGTTTCAATAATCCACTGCATTCATAAATACTACTTACAATCAATGGCTTCTGCAGCGTTGCTCCTACAGGACATCTCTTTACTATGGATCCCTAGAAAAAAAAGAAACTTAGCATTACTGAGGAACGTCGTCCATCATTATGGTACAAGTAAATGTTTCTGCATGTGTAATTGAATAATGCATCATTTAACCCTCCCATGTTCTAAAATGTGGTAAAAAGTACAGAGCTTTTACAAGCTCCACTTTTACAAGTTAGTACAGTTTTACAAGTTTTCTTTGTCTACTGTGGGAGGATTAACAGGAGGCGTCTTTCCTGAAAATTAGTGCCAGCCATATAATCATGACAATCTGACAGCAGTATCACTCTTTCACAACAACAATATACAGAGGTTCTGCAAACAGATTATCATTAATGAAGCTTTTAATTTTTCTTGAAATTAGCCAATCTTTCACAGGATATTTGCCACTTTCTTTGAAGGCTGGTGAATTTATAAATGTACTCCATAAATGTATCATCCATTAAGGAATTGTAGTATTTTCACTCGATTCTCTGTTTCTGAAATTCTGAAAATAAAACTTGAAATTTGACTGACATTCATTAAGAAACACTTAAGACAGTCAACAATCAAAAAATCATTTAATTAACAACATTTTTTATTTATTTCATTAAAATTTTAACTGCTGCAGTTTTATTCATCAGTAGTTTCAGGGCTTGGATGTTGTTTTGCTTAGCAATGCCTGTCAGATGCTGGAGCCCATATTGACTAAGAGGATATTTCTGACTCAGTGTTTGAAAACACAGCGCCATCTAATGGTCAGTTTCTGCTGCAGATTACTAACATTTTAAATGACAAAACCATTCAACAATATATTTAACATGTTCCTAATTTTAAGGTTAGTCCATTTAAATAAACAGTAAGACCAAATGATGTCATTGTCAGTTTCTAATAACCCATAATAGATGGAGAACTGTTTAATGATGTTGTGCTTGTAAATCATTCATTGTTTTACTTACTAGAGAATATTCCACCTTTTTTCTTCTTTGGAGCTAAAACAGACAATTGAAAACACATCAGAATCACAACAACAACTTCAGACAATCTAACTGTGGCTTTAGTAAGACCTGGAACTACCATGTGTCCAAAATGGCTGAACAAAAATCCAATATACACAAATCCTTATACTTGGTGAATGATTTCAGAAACATAAGACAAAACAAATGTAAATTTAGTGATAATTATTCAGACACAAGCTAAAATAAAACAAGAGCAGTCTGTGAAAAGGCTTATGTGTTAATGTGTTCTGTAGATGATGGATGTGTTTGCATCTGAATCATTAAACTAAGATCTGATTTCACTTGACCTTCAGATCAGTTACTTACTTTTAAAAATGCAAAGTTCCTATAAACATATGACCACATTTAGATTATGCACAAAAATGGTATCTCATACACATAAAGTATGGAGTACTTAAAGATTTGTCTTTCTATTTCACGCAATTTCATACCTAACATCGTGTCTGAACCTAACCAGAGAGCAGAAAGGAAATATAGCATTAATTTAGCAAAGAACGGATATATACTGACAAATATTACAATAATTCTTTGTTGGTTTTTGCAAAACCAACAAAAAATTATTGTACCATTTTTAACATATAAAATGTAAATACTCTGAAATCTATACTGATGGATCTCTTTCAAAGATTTCACAATGAAAATTAAATCCCAATAAAAAGCAAAATATCTAAAAAGTAAAATTATTCTCTTTCTTTAAAGGGAATATCATACTATCACCATTCATGTAATTAATATGCTGTACAACTAGAATATCTGATATTGGTTCAGAGTACTCCAAGAAATTGCAGTGATCATTTGTTTTGGGCTTTACTTACGTCTTGGAGGTGAGCAATCCATACTCTGGACTAAAAAAGAGAAAAGAAAAAACAAAGAGAGCATAGATGTGATGTCACCCTGACAAAAATTATGTAAACGGCCCTCGTACATCTACAAACTAAAAAAAACAAGACATATTCAGACATGTCTGTATTTAACCAAACAGATTCCTTTGCAGCAATCAAATGACTTTTTTCTTGTTTGTTTTCTTTTACTTACAATCAACTGGTGGAGCTGAACCCACACACACAACTAACAAAAGAAAAAAGGGGAAGAAAAAAAAAATTTAAAAAAAACAAGTACCAGAGGTGTTATTAAAATAAATAATAGTTGTTTGTTAATCTTTAAAATGCTGGACTAATTCTTTGTTACATTTCCATCCTTACATTTAATTATTTTGGGACCATTCCTGTCTCAAGACAAAAAATCAAATAATTGTATGCTGATAAACTGTCACTGAGCTTCTTCTCTGCATGTACCTTGTTTTGTTTTAGTGAACTAATTGATCAAAAACACATTTTTTGTAAAACTGTGGTTTTACATACAGTGGTTTGCAAAAGTATTCATACCCTTTCCACTTCACAATTGTATACTACTTTGTGTCCAATTTTCATATTAAATTACAACAAAAATATTTATGTTTGTGGTTGTAATGTGACAAAATATGGACAAGTTTGTGGAGTATTAATATGTTTGCAAGCCACCATTTCAAAGACAAGAGAGGATTTTACTGACATTTAATCAATCAGGAAATTAAAGTTGCTGAGATTTTTAGGTTAGGCCCCAAATTCTCTTAAATTAAAAAGTTTAAGTTTATAAAATTAAGCAAATTTCATTTCAAACAAATTGAAAATTCTAGTTTGAGAAAATCTCATCATAGTTTCATCCTTAAAATATTATTCTACATTGCGGTTTAAGTCCAGAGACAATGTGATTTATTTTCAACAGATAAGATGTAAATCTTCCTAAATCTATATTGGCGAATCTCTTCTCACAAGCACAGAACTGCACTAACTGAAAATACAGAGATAAATTTACTTCATGGAAACATCAATTTGGAGAAAATAAAACATTTTTCAACAATGAGTTTTTTGGTCGCATTGAAATAGATGGAAATACTTTTTTGCATCACACCAGTCACATAATCAACAGGTGTCTGTTACTACTGGCAGAAAAGAAAAGAAGACAACAGGAAGCAGTAGGAGAATGATAATTTGTTATTGAGGGTTTTTTTGGGCAATGTAATTAATTTTGTAGTTTTACTTACAACAGCCTGGTGGACGTGGATAAGGAACAATCATCGCAAAAGCAGAAAAGGAGAAAAAAAANTTCTAGTTAAACTCCCCTCTTTGCAACCTTCAATGTTAATTTTTGTTATAAATTATTATTATTATTATTATTATTATTGTTATTATTATACAAAAACTCCTATTTAATATTTACATTATAAGATTTTTTTTTTATTAATATTATTTTAGACTACAACCCACCAATTCTGGTTTTGCCTTTTCCACCTCCTCTTTGGTCTTTCCCAGCACTGCAGTCAGATCTTCATCAAGCATCCAGCTGCCAGATGCTTTCTGCAGGGACACCAGCTGCAGCAGAGGGTCTTTATGGGGCTGCACAGATTTGGGGTATGACCTTTCTGAATCTAAATCACCATCACATGTGAAGTGAAAAGAGCTTGATAAGTGGGTACATGAGGTGAGTTTCAATAATCCACTGCATTCATAAATACTACTTACAATCAATGGCTTCTGCAGCGTTGCTCCTACAGGACATCTCTTTACTATGGATCCCTAGAAAAAAAAGAAACTTAGCATTACTGAGGAACGTCGTCCATCATTATGGTACAAGTAAATGTTTCTGCATGTGTAATTGAATAATGCATCATTTAACCCTCCCATGTTCTAAAATGTGGTAAAAAGTACAGAGCTTTTACAAGCTCCACTTTTACAAGTTAGTACAGTTTTACAAGTTTTCTTTGTCTACTGTGGGAGGATTAACAGGAGGCGTCTTTCCTGAAAATTAGTGCCAGCCATATAATCATGACAATCTGACAGCAGTATCACTCTTTCACAACAACAATATACAGAGGTTCTGCAAACAGATTGTCATTAATGAAGCTTTTAATTTTTCTTGAAATTAGCCAATCTTTCACAGGATATTTGCCACTTTCTTTGAAGGCTGGTGAATTTATAAATGTACTCCATAAATTTATCATCCATTAAAGAATTGTAGTATCTTCACTTGATTCTCTGCTTCTGAAATTCTGAAAATAAAACTTGAAATTTGACCGACATTCATTAAGAAACACTTAAGACAGTCAACAATCAAAAAATCATTTAATTAACAACATTTTTTATTTATTTCATTAAAATTTTAACTGCTGCAGTTTTATTCATCAGTAGTTTCAGGGCTTGGATGTTGTTTTGCTTAGCAATGCCTGTCAGATGCTGGAGCCCATATTGACTAAGAGGATATTTCTGACTCAGTGTTTGAAAACACAGCGCCATCTAATGGTCAGTTTCTGCTGCAGATTACTAACATTTTAAATGACAGAACCATTCAACAATATATTTAACATGTTCCTAATTTTAAGGCTAGTCCATTTAAATAAACAATAAGACCAAATGATGTCATTGTCAGTTTCTCATCACCAATAATAGATGGAAAACTGTTTAATGATGTGCTTGAGAATCATTCATTGTTTTACTTTCTAGAGAATATTCCACGTTTTCTCCTCTTTGGAGCTAAAACAGACAATTGAAAACACATCAGAATCACAACAACAACTTCAGACAATCTAACTGTGGCTCTAGTAAGACCTGGAACTACCATGTGTTCAAAATGGCTGAATAAAAATCCAATATACACAAATCCTTATACTTGGTGAATGATTCATAAACATAAGACAAAACAAATGTAAATTTAGTGAGAATTATTCAGACACAAGCTAAAATAAAACAAGAGCAGTCTGTGAAAAGGCTTATGTGTTAATGTGTTCTGTAGATGATGGATGTGTTTGCATCTGAATCATTAAACTAAGATCTGATTTCACTTGACCTTCAGATCAGTTACTTACTTTTAAAAATGCAAAGTTCCTATAAACATATGACCACATTTAGATTATGCACAAAAATGGTATCTCATACACATAAAGTATGGAGTACTTAAAGATTTGTCTTTCTATTTCACGCAATTTCATACCTAACATCGTGTCTGAACCTAACCAGAGAGCAGAAAGGAAATATAGCATTAATTTAGCAAAGAACGGATATATACTGACAAATATTACAATAATTCTTTGTTGGTTTTTGCAAAACCAACAAAAAATTATTGTACCATTTTTAACATATAAAATGTAAATACTCTGAAATCTATACTGATGGATCTCTTTCAAAGATTTCACAATGAAAATTAAATCCCAATAAAAAGCAAAATATCTAAAAAGTAAAATTATTCTCTTTCTTTAAAGGGAATATCATACTATCACCATTCATGTAATTAATATGCTGTACAACTAGAATATCTGATATTGGTTCAGAGTACTCCAAGAAATTGCAGTGATCATTTGTTTTGGGCTTTACTTACGTCTTGGAGGTGAGCAATCCATACTCTGGACTAAAAAAGAGAAAAGAAAAAACAAAGAGAGCATAGATGTGATGTCACCCTGACAAAAATTATGTAAACGGCCCTCGTACATCTACAAACTAAAAAAAACAAGACATATTCAGACATGTCTGTATTTAACCAAACAGATTCCTTTGCAGCAATCAAATGACTTTTTTCTTGTTTGTTTTCTTTTACTTACAATCAACTGGTGGAGCTGAACCCACACACACAACTAACAAAAGAAAAAAGGGGAAGAAAAAAAAAATTTAAAAAAAACAAGTACCAGAGGTGTTATTAAAATAAATAATAGTTGTTTGTTAATCTTTAAAATGCTGGACTAATTCTTTGTTACATTTCCATCCTTACATTTAATTATTTTGGGACCATTCCTGTCTCAAGACAAAAAATCAAATAATTGTATGCTGATAAACTGTCACTGAGCTTCTTCTCTGCATGTACCTTGTTTTGTTTTAGTGAACTAATTGATCAAAAACACATTTTTTGTAAAACTGTGGTTTTACATACAGTGGTTTGCAAAAGTATTCATACCCATTCCACTTCACAATTGTATACTACTTTGTGTCCAATTTTCATATTAAATTACAATAAAAATATTTCTGTTTGTGGTTGTAATGTGACAAAATGTGAGTATAAATATGTTTGCAAGCCACCATTTCAGAGACAGAGAGGATTTTACTGACATTTAATCAATCAGGAAATTAAAGTTGCTGAGATTTTTAGGTTAGGCCCCAAATTCTCTTAAATTAAAAAGTTTAAGTTTATAAAATTAAGCAAATTTCATTTCAAACAAATTGAAAATTCTAGTTTGAGAAAATCTCATCATAGTTTCATCCTTAAAATATTATTCTACATTGCGGTTTAAGTCCAGAGACAATGTGATTTATTTTCAACAGATAAGATGTAAATCTTCCTAAATCCATATTGGCGAATCTCTTCTCACAAGCAAAGTGGCAGAACTGCACTAACTGAAAATACAGAGATAAATTTACTTCATGGAAACATCAATTTGGAGAAAATAAAACATTTTTCAACAATGAGTTTTTTGGTCGCATTGAAATAGATGGAAATACTTTTTTGCGTCACACCAGTCACATAATCAACAGGTGTCTGTTACTACTGGCAGAAAAGAAAAGAAGACAACAGGAAGCAGTAGGAGAATGATGATTTGTTATTGAGGGTTTTTCGTACAATGTAATTAATTTTGTAGTTTTACTTACTAGAGCCTGGTGGACGTGGATAAGGAACAATCATCACAAAAACAGAAAAGGAGAAAAAAAATACAGGGTAAAATATACATTGAATGAGCTCTTCCAAAATATCTCAAAGTAAGAATTAAAACCACAACAAAACAAAACTATCCATCCTTTATAAGTAAGAGCATACCATCAACATCACCAACCATATAATTAATAAGTTATAGGACAGAAATATCTTGTGTTATTTATTATAGTTTTACTTTGTTTTGAAGCATTTACTTACGAGCTAGTCTTCGTGGAGCTGAACAAGCCATCACTAAAACAGAAAAGGAGTAAAAAAAAAATCAGGTGATATTAAATTAACAAAAGTTGTCAATCTGGAAAAAAAAGATATTCATCAACATCATCACCTTAATTAAAGACACAGGTCCATGTAAAAAGTAATTAAATTAGGATGAAAATAACATAAAAAAAGATAGAAATTAAAAAGGATGCATATATATGTATATCTATATATGCATGCATGCAAACAAACAAACAAACAATCTGGTCTGATATGGAGACTGAATAATTTAACTAAAACAGATTTAGTGGTGAAACAGATCTTTCAAAACTGTATCACAAAAACAGAAAAGGGGGAAAAAATACAGGGTAAAACCTACATTGAATGAGCTCTTCCAAAATATCTCAAAGTAAGAATTAAACCACAATAAAACAAAACTATTCATCCTTTATAAGTAAGAGCCATCACCATCCATGTAATTAATAAGTTATAGTACAGAAATATCTTGTGTTATTTATTGTAGTTTTATTTCGTTTTTGAAGCATTTACTTACGAACTGGTCTTTGTGGAAGTGAACAACCCATCACTAACACAGAAAAGGAGTAAAAGAAAAAAAAAATGATATTAAATTAAAAGTTGCCAATCTGGAAAAAAAAAGATATTCATCAACATCATCACCTTTATTAAAGTCACAGGCCCATGTAAATAATAATTAAAATAGGATAAAAATAACATAAAAAAAGATAGAAATTAAAAAGTTAAGGTTTGAATCTCTCGCCCGTCAGCCTGACAGACAGACAGACAGACAATCTGGTCTGATACGAAGACTCAATAATTGAACCAAAACAGATGTAGCGGTGAAACAAATCTTTCAAAAACTCTCTCCTGTTTCTGTGTGATTGGTACAAGATGCTACCATCTACTTTGTTGTGGATTCTCAAAGTTTTCAAAGTTTGCTATATATATATATATATATATATATATATATATATACCTCAGAGTGCTCAACAAACTCCTTAGCATTTTTGATTTCTTTGATGCTTTACTTACTTTGAGGTAGAAAAGCTGCCAGCCCATCAGAAGCAGAAAATCGGAGAAAACAAAGACATTTCAAGAAAGACCAAAGGTGTTAATTTTATCAATAGCTTACATCTTCATATAAATTACATATGAACATCAACAAATCTCAATCCACTGACTGAAAAAATAAATAAAATAAATCATTCACCTGTCGGGACATTTCTGCGCACCAGCGGTCCTTGAACTGCCTTGCCGCTGTCTTTGTTGACAGCAATGAAGGCAGTGAAACAGCTGCTTACTCCTGATTGGATGCTGAGCTCCACCACCTTAATCTTCACTTCTTCATCCTGCTGTCCTCTTCGTGTCCTCTCCTCTGACTCCAGTGAGCGAATCACAGTGCGAGCAGCCAGCCTGTGGACTGTTAATCTGAGACAGGAAGGAGAAACATGCAACATCTAACATTTGAAGGAGATCAAATGTTTTCTATGAACACAAACTGCCTTCTTTCTCAGTTTCAACCTTTTCCTCTCATCATGCTCCTTTACTTTTCTTATGTCCCAAAGGTAAAATAAACTACTTTTTCATTCATTGAGGAGAAATGTCAATCTTTTTTACCTTTACTATTCATCAATAATTCCACATTTCTTAAAATTAAATCAAACTCAGTTTCTGTTAATATCACTAATCTGATCCTTTGTGTATTTTAAACTTGAGTACCGAGGTGACCTCTCAATATGTCCTCTTGCTTTGCTTTTGATTCCAAGATAACCTAAAATGTCCACATCTTACCTTAAATCTAAAAAAATATACAGTTTTATAGAAAGGGAAAATAGAAATAACATGTTTATTACGTCAAATTAGGAGCTACAAAAATAGCAGCACAGTTGTTTGTCATTTCACCTTGCAGCAACAAGGTGAGTTTTTTCCTGGTATTTCTTCTTCCTTCCACAGTAAAAAAGTTTACATTTAGGTTGACTGGTGTCTTTAAATTACCCTTGGCTATGAGCGTCTCTGTGTTGCCGCATTATGTCCTACCAACTTGTCCATATTGTACTCTGCCTCTGAAGAAACAGTTATATAACAACTATGACTGGATGAATATTTTGTATTTCAGTGACGGAGATCCTTGAAATTGTTGGAATACCTAATTTCAACAACACTATGATATGTCTTGTCAATACTGTCAAACCAGGATATAAGGCGTTTACCCAGAGTCCTCTGCAGGTTTTAGTTTGAAGTGCAGCTGGTTCTGAGAGGGATGACCTGCCAGGCTGTACTTCACTGTCACACTGCCGCCTGCTTCCTCTGAACTCTGAGACATAAAAAATTACAAAAATAGATACAAATATAACAATATGTCATGCTAAATGCTTTGATACAGAAAACACAAAGTGAGATGCTGGTGACCCTACCTGTCCTGTAAGCTGAGCATAAATCAGTGACCTCTGACCCTGAAATATTGCTTTAATTGGTGGAGACAGAACGGTGGCAGACACTCCCTTTGGTAAACCCCAGGAGACAGAAATGTCCTCCACAGCTGGCTGCAGTGCAAACCTGAGTGACTGCATCTCCTGTGATTTAAACAATAGTTGTAAAATTATTTACTTTTACTATAATCACATTTTCATGTGTTGGTGCAGTTTTTACAGCTTTTTGTGTTGTTGTTTTTACTTTTGGTTGCATCCTGTCAGCCCCTGTGATGAACTGAGCGTGACCTCCGCCCTCTTTGGCCATCCCGTTGATGAGAGCAGAGCTGGCTCCTTCTCCAATCCCAAAAGAGAAACACCTACGATACAAGAGTTTGATTTCAAACTCACAATAGCATCAGAACATGAACCAGACTGGGAATCTGTGTGTTTATGGTTTCACCTGTGGGAGCCTGCATTCTTCTTAACAAGATCAGTAACTTCTTTGGTGTTTCCCACCTCTCCGTCAGTGAAGACAAACACCTGAGGGAGGAGAAAACACCAAACGTGTCAGAACCAAACAGGAGCTGAAAGTCTTGTGGAGAATCTGTCTGAGAGGAGTCTATCTCTGATGTTTTAGTAACACAACACAAGTGGTGTTAACATGGATGAAGAGCAACAAAAGGTGACAAATAAGACCAACCAGTTTGTTGAACATTTCACAAAGGGGTGGAGAGCAAGGAGTTGTTCCGAACAACCACAGTGTTTATGCAAGACTAAAATGACAAAACAGGTTTGGTGCAATATCAGCTGACCTGCCGAGGATGTTTGGGAATGCAGGCTTGGCTGTAAATGTGTTTGAGAGGCCGAAGAATTTCTGTTCCTCCGAGATTAGACCCCATTTTTTCAACTTTTTCCAGAGCCTCCTTCATGGTCTTCTCACTGTACTCCACACTCGTACTGCCAGAAAAGTAGGAGATATGTCAAATGAAATCATGATAAATATCAAAAGCCACAAAACGTACTATAATCTCTTAAAATGATCACCAAGTTACAGTTTTACATGAAATCTTCTGTGGAAGGGTTAGTAAGAAGAAAAAATGAAATATAAAAAAAAAACTTATTAAAGGGTGTTGAGGATTGGGAGTTAGATGTCACTCACGGAAAGATGTGTTCAAAGGAGGATCCAAAACTGTAAATGTTGAAGTAGCAGCCCATTGGTAAACTCTTCAACAGGAGCAGCAGAGTGTCCTAAAGAAAGACAGGAAGTAAAGAACACACTTAGAGAGAGAAGGAAACATGCTTTGACAAATTACATACAGGTGTAGTTCAATTTAATTAATTAATGTATTTAAGAATCGTTGAAGGTGCAACAGTAGTTTGTGTCAGTGAGTGATTAAGAAATATTCACACATTATTTTTGTCAGACACAAGTATGAGGATTTGTTTTGCACAATTTGTTTTGGATCGCTTGGGGGAAAAACTGCAATGGCTAAATCGGGTACAATTTCACTGCAAAGACCCCATGAAGTAGCGCAAAAGATACGTGCTAATTTTAACCATGATCCCTCAGCTACGGTGGCTCATAAAGCCCAAAGAGACATGTATTTGTTCGACAAGCAGGTGTCTCTTAAGAAGTGATGACTAATATCTATTGTGAGATATTACTAAAGGTAGTACCTTTAGTAAAATAACAACAAGGTAATATCTTACAAAAGGTAAGATACTAGATTTTGTAAGATATTACATTTGGTAATATCTTACATGACGTAAGATATTGTCAGTCATCAACTCTCAACAAAAACCCTTCTAAAGTAATTTGAACTATCCCAGTAAAACATGGATAAACACCTTTGCACTGCTGATACGAGTTTCTTGTGGTGTGCTGTTATTCATGGGGCAGCTCATACTTCCTGATCGATCCACCAAGAACACAAACTCTCCACAGGCAGCAAGTGAGGACATCACTGATTGGGGGAACTCAGGGTAAAGGCTGACCATCACCACTGGATCACCCATCAGAGAGCCTGGGACATGTTGGAGATGGAAAAAAAAACAAACAAACAAAAAAAACATAAACCTTCTGATACTCTAACATTTAATAATCAGTAATACCTAAACTAATCTGTTCTCACCAGGTTTGGCAGAGGCCTGTCCTGCCTCCACCACAGCAGAGGGCTGGTGGGCGTCTTTGTAATAAATCAGTAGCTCAACGTCTCTGTCAAACTTGTGTCCTGCAACCAATTTAACCTACAGTTGAAAACAAGAAACAAGAAAACTGAAGTGATTTATCTTGTATGTTATAACTACATCCAGCAGTAACATCAGCTCTCTACCCACCGTGGCCTGAGTTTGATCAGCGTTGAGGTACTGAAGAGGTTCCAGAGAACAACTGGACTCTATTTTAGAGATTGGACGAGGAGAGGAGACCTGGGCAGAAAAGGACAGACTGTAGGGCACCAGAGAGGCTGGAACTGAGGTCACCTGGACACTGGGACCTTCACTACCTGGAAACAACATGAGAGAAAAATGGGAGTCACTTAGTTTTTAGTTAAAATGTATATGAGTGCATCCATCTATCGGCTGGTTTTCCTACCCTGTGGGTGGTATCGATGGTTGAGCACAGCAGGCAGACAGAACCTCAGCCCATCATCAGCCTGCACAGCCAGCTCAGTGACGTACTCCAGCCTGATGGAGGCGCTCTCTCCTGGAGGCAGACTGCCCACTTTCAGAGAGAAAATATCTGGACTCTCGTCACTCTCCTCCAACAGGAAGGCCTGCTGACCGGAGCTCAGAGCATCATCATACTCCTCCTGAGCCTGCAGTCCACATGAAGCATGTCAGCAATGTTCACTTTACTGTGTTTCAGCTTCTTTATAGAGAAGACATCTTTGTTCCAGCTCACCTGCTGTTTCTCCTTCACCTCAGCTACAATGTGTGTTTCTCCAATCTGAGCACTGAAATGACACACAGCAGCATCTCCAGGCAGAGGGAAGACAAACACAGCCTCTAGAGGTTTGTCCTCCTTGTTCTCATAGTTCAGAGTGGAGACCAGAGTAGCTACATGGTCCTTCACCTCCAGCTGAGCATCAATGCTCTTCAGAGGAACTAAAGCAGCAAAACAAGGACATGAATAAACCATAGAAATTGTTTAAAAGTGTCTGATTAAACTTCCTATGGTTCTGCATTATGTTTAAAACAAGTTCTGTGAAGAGTCAGTAAATCAATTAGATTAAAAAGAGAACATGACTGAGGAACAAACATAAAATCTGTTATTTTAGTTCGTTTTCTAACAGGTACCTGGTTCCTTCCTGTCAGTGACCAGACCACAGCAGTTCACCATCGTGCCTGTGGGAAATAAACGAAGAGGCGTGTAATGCTGGGAACAGCTGACCAGACAGACCAGTCTGGTCTGGTCTTCGTCGTATTATAAACAAATACAACAAATGCGTATTTTATCCTTCTAATGCTTAGGAAAACATCGCTGTCAATAAAAAATAATAGTATCTAAAACCAACAATTGTTCAAAACACGACTGTCTGCAGCTGCTTTAGCTCTGATCAATCTTTAGCGTTAAACGAATCGGAACAGCAGAAACAAAAGTAGATGAGATGAAAACTTACCAGTAAGAACAGTTGCTGATAAGAGAGATATGTTTTAGGTTTACAGACCGCTGTTAACGAAGCTTCGTCCGCTGCTGTCTCTCTGAATTTTCGTTCAAGCTGCAGCAGGAAATATGAACACGGACCTGCTGAGTGAGTTTGGGTTCGTTCAAGGAATGAACTGAGTGGGTGGAGCTTGAGCATAAAGTCTGTCATGCTGCGAATCACATGGAGATAAACTGCAGTTTGGTTGTTTGTCGGCCTGCAAACTCTTCAATAATACATTCGTAAAACGATATGTAGAATATCTAATATGTGTCCTAGAAGAAAAGAAATTATTTTCTCTTTTCGTCTTTTTAAAAAAATATTTAAGAAATCGCTTAAAAATATTTGCAAGCTTTTTATCATAAGCACATGTTAATACTTTAAAAAAACTATCAAAGATCAAAATGCCACTCTGGTTATTTATTAAGGGTGGGATTCACTGAATGAATGCAATCCTTCAAAAACTCTCAATAGCATTATTCAAATCTCACTATAGAGTCCCCTCTCCTTTAACCCTAAAATAGAGGACACCTTAATTAATTTGCAGGTGTTCTATCCTGTACACATCTGATTGAACATCGTATTGATGTAGTTAATACATAGCTTATAAAACAACACCTTTACATGACTAATTCAAGAGAAACGGAAGCATCTGGATGATATTGTTGATTACTTACGAGAAAATGCAACTTTGCTGGGAAGATAGAAGATAACAAGTTAATTGTTTTCCTCTCTGTACTTGGTTTGAACCGTCTAATGTCACAGTCTGCAAGTGCAAATACCAGAGTTGTGAATTAAACTGAAACGGGATACTTCTCTTTCTTCCCCTCTTTGTAGAAAGATGGTGGATATTCAAACCGATATACTTTCATCTCTTTTTTTCACTTTCCTGGACTAGTCAGAGGAGTCATTGCTCATATTCTTTGCATAATTTCTTAATAAAATAATCATCAATATGCATTTTGATTCATTGTTGATTGACTCAGTGTTTCACTTTGGGTAAGATTTATTTATTTCCTTAATACTAAAAATGCCTTTGCTAGGCATCAAGACCCAAAGCCTTTCCTCTGGGCCTTTGTGCTCACGTGTTTGCGTTTCAGAGATTGAGTGGCTCTTGTCTCCACCGAAGAGGGTAAGAAAAGATCCATCACTTCCTGTGACTGCTTGTTCCTTTTTCTTCTTGCTTTCTACCTCTTGCAGTCTCTGTCGCTCCATCTCAGGCATGTTTTTTTCTTTTGGTTTTTGTTAATTCAAATTTTTGTTTTTCTCATGTGTTGCTTTGCTTTATTTGTTATAGTTCTTAAACCTCTATGTTTGAATTTATGCATGCATCACAGAGGAGGTTAAACCAATTTTGAACATTGACAAATGTCACCAGTCACTAAAATACAATCAATACAATTCAAAGTGTTTTCTCCAGTTTATATACAATACTAAAAACATTTATTTTTTCAGTAATTCTGTCAGCCAAGAACAATGTAAAATTGACTTTTCAGCACCATGGACAGTAGCACACTGAGGTCAGATTTACATTAGATTTAAAAAGTGTACCTATGCCTTTAATGTGCATAAAGTCTGTAGACACTAACTATGTATAGTTAGTAATTAAAAACAAGTCTTGGACTTTTTGGTTTCAGCAGAATTCTCTTTCATCACTGAAAGACGAGTGGGATGCAACTTGATGGGTAAAGAAACTTACCACTAGGTGGCGCTACTAAAATGTATTTACAGGATTCCGTCTTTCTGTTTTTTCCTACCTAAACAAAAGCAATCGAAGTTAAACAGTAAATGTATCCCAAAGTTTAGTTTCCCAGCTAAAAGTATGATTTGAATATTTTTTTGTTTGTGGGGGGGGGGGGTTGCGATACTCATTTTGAGAGTTTTGAANCTTCTTCATCCTGCTGTCCTCTTCGTGTCCTCTCCTCTGACTCCAGTGAGCGAATCACAGTGCGAGCAGCCAGCCTGTGGACTGTTAATCTGAGACAGGAAGGAGAAACATGCAACATCTAACATTTGAAGGAGATCAAATGTTTTCTATGAACACAAACTGCCTCCTTTCTCAGTTTCAACCTTTTCCTCTCATCATGCTCCTTTACTTTTCTTATGTCCCAAAGGTAAAATAAACTACTTTTTCATTCATTGAGGAGGAATGTCAATCTTTTTTACCTTTGTTTACTATTCATCGATAATTCAGTCAGCAACATTTATGGTAGCAGGTGAAGGAAGATAATGTTTCCACATTTCTTAAAATTAAATCAAATTCAGTTTCTGTTAATATCACTAATCTGATCCTTTGTGTATTTTAAACTTGAGTACCGAGGTGACCTCTCAATATGTCCTCTTGCTTTGCTTTTGATTCCAAGATAAAATAAAATGTCCACATCTTACCTTAAATCTAAAAAAATATACAGTTTTATAGAAAGGGAAAATAGAAATAACATGTTTATTACGTCAAATTAGGAGCTACAAAAATAGCAGCACAGTTGTTTGTAATTTCACCTTGCAGCAACAAGGTGAGTTTTTTCCTGGTATTTCTTCTTCCTTCCACAGTAAAAAAGTTTACATTTAGGTTGACTGGTGTCTTTAAATTACCCTTGGCTATGAGCGTCTCTGTGTTGCTGCATGATGTCCTACCAACTTGTCCATATTGTACTCTGCCTCTTAAAAAAAGTTATATAACAACTATGACTGGATGATTATTTTATATTTCAGTGTCAGAGATCCTTGACATTTTCAAAATACTACCTCATTTCAACAACACTGTGATATGTCTTGCCAATACTGTCAAACCAGGATATAAGGCGTTTACCCAGAGTCCTCTGCAGGTTTTAGTTTGAAGTGCAGCTGGTTCTGAGAGGGATGACCTGCCAGGCTGTACTTCACTGTCACACTGCAAACTGCTTCCTCTGAACTCTGAGACATAAAAAAATACAAAAATAGATAAAAATATAGCAATATGTCATGCTAAATGCTTTGATACAGAAAACACAAAGTGAGATGCTGGTGACCCTACCTGTCCTGTAAGCTGAGCATAAATCAGTGACCTCTGACCCTGAAATATTGCTTTAATTGGTGGAGACAGAACGGTGGCAGACACTCCCTTTGGTAAACCCCAGGAGACAGAAATGTCCTCCACAGCTGGCTGCAGTGCAAACCTGAGTGACTGCATCACCTGTGATTTAAACAATAGTTGTAAAATTATTTACTTTTACTATAATCACATTTTCATGTGTTGGTGCATTTTTACAGTTTTTTTTTTTTTTTTTACCTTTGGTTGCATCCTGTCAGCCCCTGTGATGAACTGAGCGTGACCTCCGCCCTCTTTGGCCATCCCGTTGATGAGAGCAGAGCTGGCTCCTTCTCCAATCCCAAAAGAGAAACACCTACGATACAAGAGTTTGATTTCAAATTCACAATAGCATCAGAACATGAACCAGACTGGGAATCTGTGTGTTTATGGTTTCACCTGTGGGAGCCTGCATTCTTCTTAACAAGATCAGTAACTTCTTTGGTGTTTCCCACCTCTCCGTCAGTGAAGACAAACACCTGAGGGAGGAGAAAACACCAAACGTGTCAGAACCAAACAGGAGCTGAAAGTCCTGTGTAGAATCTGTCTGAGAGGAGTCTATCTCTGATGTTTTAGTAACACAACACAAGTGGTGTTAACATGGATGAAGAGCACCAAAAGATGACAAACAGTTTGTTGAACATTTCACAAGTTGTGGAGCACAAGGAGTTGTTCCGAACAACCACATTGTTTATGCAAGACTAAAATGATAAAACAGGTTTGGTGCAATATCAGCTGACCTGCCGAGGATGTTTGGGAATGCAGGCTTGGCTGTAAATGTGTTTGAGAGGCTGAAGAATTTCTGTTCCTCCAAGATTAGCCCCCATTTTTTAACCTTTTCCAGAGCCTCCTTCATGGTCTTCTCACTGTACTCCACACTCGTACTGCCAGAAAAGTAGGAGATATGTCAAATAAAATCATGATAAATATCAAAAGCCACAAAACGGCTATAATCTCTTAAAATTATCACCAAGTTACAGCTTTACATGAAATCTGTGAAATCTTTAGTAAAAGAAAAATGAAATAAAAAAAGAAACTTATTAAAGGGTGTTGAGGATTGGGAGTTAGATGTCACTCACGGAAAGATGTGTTCAAAGGAGGATCCAAAACTGTAGATGTTGAAGTAGCAGCCCATTGGTAAACTCTTCAACAGGAGCAGCAGAGTGTCCTAAAGAAAGACAGGAAGTAAAGAACACACTTAGAGAGAGAAGAAAACATGCTTTGAAAACAACTGTGGAAAAAACTGCAATGGCTAAATCGGGTATGATTTCACTGCAATTACCCCATGAAGTAGCACAAAACATACGTGCTAATTTTAACCATGATCCCTCAGCAACGATGGCTCGTAAAGTCCAAAAAGACATATTTGTTCGACAACCAGGTGTCTCTTAAGAAGTGATGACTAATATCTTATCTATTGTGAGATATTACTAAACGTAATATCTTACAAGAGGTAAGACACTAGATTTTGTAAGATATTACATTTGGTAATATCTTACATGACGTAAGATATTGTCAGTCATCAACTCTCAACAAAAACCCTTCTAAAGTAATTTGAACTATCCCAGTAAAACATGGATAAATACCTTTGCACTGCTAATACGAGTTTCTTGTGGTGTGCTGTTATTCATGGGGCAGCTCATACTTCCTGATCGATCCACCAAGAACACAAACTCTCCACAGGCAGCAAGTGAGGACATCACTGATTGGGGGAACTCAGGGTAAAGGCTGACCATCACCACTGGATCACCCATCAGAGAGCCTGGAACATGTTGGAGATGGAAAAAAAAAAAAAAAAATAAATAAACTTTCTGGTTTTTTAACATTTAACAATCAGTAATACCTAAACTAATCTGTTCTCACCAGGTTTGGCAGAGGCCTGTCCTGCCTCCACCACAGCAGAGGGCTGGTGGGCGTCTTTGTAATAAATCAGTAGCTCAACGTCTCTGTCAAACTTGTGTCCTGCACCCAATTTAACCTACAGTTGAAAAACAGAAACAAGAAAACTGAAGTGATTTATCTGGTATGTAATAACTACATCCAGCAGTAACATCAGCTCTCTACCCACCGTGGCCTGAGTTTGATCAGCGTTGAGGTACTGAAGAGGCTCCAGAGAACAACTGGACTCTATTTTAGAGATTGGACGAGGAGAGGAGACCTGGGCAGAAAAGGACAGACTGTAGGGCACCAGAGAGGCTGGAACTGAGGTCACCTGGACACTGGGACCTTCACTACCTGGAAACAACATGAGAGAAAAATGGGAGTCACTTAGTTTGTAATTAAAATGTATATGAGTGCATCCATCTATCGGCTGGTTTTCCTACCCTGAGGTTGGTATCGAGGGTTGAGCACAGCAGGCAGACAGAACCTCAGCCCATCATCAGCCTGCACAGCCAGCTCAGTGACGTACTCCAGCCTGATGGTGGCGCTCTCTCCTGGAGGCAGACTGCCCACTTTCAGAGAGAAGATATCTGGACTCTCATCACTCTCCTCCAACAGGAAGGCTTGCTGACCGGAGCTCAGAGCATCATCATACTCCTCCTGAGCCTGCAGTCCACATGAAGCATGTCAGCAATGTTCACTTTACTGTGTTTTAGCTTCTTTATAGAGAAGACATCTTTGTTCCAGCTCACCTGCTGTTTCTCCTTCACCTCAGCTACAATGTGTGTTTCTCCAATCTGAGCACTGAAATGACACACAGCAGCATCTCCAGGCAGAGGGAAGACAAAAACGGTCTCCAGAGGTTTGTCCTCCTTGTTCTCGAAGTTAAGAGTGGAGACCAGAGTAGCTACATGGTCCTTCACCTCCAGCTGAGCATCAATGCTCTTCAGAGGAACTAAAGCAGCAAAACAAGGACATGATTGAACCATAGAAATATATCTTATTGCACTTCACAGTTTCTGTGCTTAAAAGACTTTCTGAGAAGAAACCAAGTGTAGTTTGCTTTCAAACAGCTGAGTACCTGGTTCCTTCTTTTCAGTGAGCAGACCACAGCAGTTTGTCATTGTTCCTGTGAGGCAGACAACTTTGGGGGGAAATGGGTTAAAAAGCTTTAAAGTAGGCAGCTACTTTTTTGATATCACAAGCTAACAAAGAAAACATTTACAATTAATCAGGAAAAACTTAAACTTATAAAGGGGGCATGACAGTGAAGTATTGCGCTTAAAAATCAGATTGAATTACTTTAAATAAATTAATCTTTTAAATGGTTGTGTTTTGTGGTACATGGAAGTATATGTTGAGATAGATATATATTATCATCTTTACACTTATATACCACATTATGGCATGGGAACATCAAAAAGCGCCACATAGTAGGATTGACAAGCAATTTCATTGCTAACTTCACAGTAAAGATTGTGGAACCAGTGGCGGAACAAGTCGGTGTCGTGGCTAATAACCGGGCCTTTTATACCCAAAATAACAAAGCTCCTGAAAACATAATTTTATAAAATACCAAAAAAAGTCACTCATATTTGACGTACAAATGCTCCAATCTACCTAGTTTACAATCCGTTTCTAAGTATCTGACTGATGATGACGTTGTGGATGGTTGGCGACGTGTTTTACCCAGAATACACTTGGAGACAATATCAGCAATCAACTTGTAAATCTGTATGTCATAAAGTTAAATGTAAGAATGAAAATTAAGCCAGTCATGTAGCACAACATTTTATTCAATATTTTACAACCACCATGTCACTAAAATCATTCGGTCTTGTAAAGTTATTAGCAACCATGAGTAAACAATGACTGGGGCAGCCTACTATATAATCTACTGGGGGACCATTCTGTTTTTTTATAATCTACATACACCATACTCAACAGGAAAGGGCCCACCTTCTCCAGCTCTCATCAGATGTGATACAGACTTGGATCTCTGAATTCATATTCTGCCTCTCATGCGGTCCCCCTAGGCCCGGGCCGGGGGGGCCGCCGCCCCCCACCCCACCCATAGCTCCGCACCTGCATGGAACTGCGGCATTTTTACTTTAGGGTGTGTCACACCACAAGCATCTCAAAAATCTCAGGCTTTAGATGAATTTTGTTAAGTTAAACAACAGCAGGGGCGCAGCTACATATTATTCAGGTGGATGCGAAAACATAAATCGGCGCCCCCCCCACCCCCCTCCAAAAGGAAGGAACATAAGGGTGAAGGAGCGTAAGGGCGCGGTGAAGCGTATGCGAGGGCATCATCGGCGCGCCGCCCCCTCCAGACGGGGTTTTTGACGCCCCCTCTGGTGCAGCGCCCCTATGCGTTGCATGCGCTGCATACCCACCTTTTGCGCCACTGAACAACAGAAAGATTTTAAGTGAGCAAAAAATTTATAGTAAAGTTTTCTTAATTTCTTTGACACTATCAAGATATAGCTTGATAGTATTTACCAAAATAAATATTTTTATTTTAAAATAGTCAGTTAAAAATCTTCTCAAGAAAACGTACAAAGTTCAACCGGGTGTGTCAAAAGGTGGGCTTGACTGCATGCAAACCAAGTAACGTGGAAGACTTTCTTAGAAATGCGATGACTCCATTGGATTTGCTTTTACGCCAAACCATAGCTGTTTTTGTTTGTGTTGGTCTAAGTTCTAGCAAGTGCGTCAGCTCAAATAAACTCAGAAAAGAAGAGAAGAAAGCTTACCAGTGAGGACAGACCCTTCTCACGGAGAAATGCAGAATTTACTGCGCGTTAAGAGCTTCTGCTCAAACAAAACCAAAGCAGCTGTTCCTCTATCTGGAACGCTCGTTTTTCTGGGAACGCACCGGGTGGGTGGAGCATTGACGGTGAAGCCCAGCTCCTTGCGTACGTAGCCTATTTGCTTACAGTCTCTGCTGGTCCATTTTAAAATGAATATGTTTACATTTTGAGCAAATTTATTTTTAGCTGTAACGTTTTTATTTCCTTACTCTTCATCAAACCGCACCTCTTTCCCTTTTAGTGTATCATGGACAGCAACAACCGATTCACATGAAATGACAAAGCATTCTAAATTATCTGATAACTATTATAAGTTAAAGTAAAGCATTGGAATTGAGCTCATGTTTTAGTTTTAAAGACTGTACTTCTAAAGTTCTTCAGGTTTTGTTTTTGAATGGAAAACCTTTCTATCTTTTTAAAAACCTTCCTTGAGTTTTTAATGTGCTTTTATTGCTTATCTGTGCAAATGGCAATAAATTATATTCTCTCCATCAGGTTTAATAAAATCTTCTTCAATCACTTGTGTCTAGAGGCAGAAATATTTTGACATATATGACTGACTGTACTTTTTATTTATTTATTTAGCATATCCTTAAAAATGGCAATGGTATTTTTTGTAATTACTATAGTTATTTATATATTTGATAAGTACAAAGTTGTATTTCAAAGCAGCATGTCCATGTGAGAAAAGATCATTTATTTTCCTCTTCATAATAAAAGTAAATTACTGCTGATCTACATCATGATTGGTACTGTATAAGCTGGCTGCAAAACAACATATAAATGTATTAAGTTACATTGCTTTTTTATTTTAACACTTTCTATGTTGTTTAGACATTTTTAGTCAAAATTAAGGAGTTTTCTTCAATGTATAGTTTTAGTAATCACAATGCTGAAGTTTAAGTTGAAAAGACAAATTATTGCTATTTTAGGTGTTCAAAAGTTAGTTTCTGTTCCTTTGTTCAGACTCTATAATCTGACAAAAACTTGAGTCAAGCTTTTGTGTGAATCACTACACAAAGTTTTATTGCTTAACCACTGTTTCTGAGAAGTTCTTATATGTGTTGCAACCAAATACCAGCCCAGAGTGATTGGAACATATTCAATAGTTCCTCTACACTTTTTTGCATGTGTTTTTTTTTTTTAGATTAAGGTCCAGGGATATGGATGTCCAGGCCACATTCTTAATTTTCCACTTTTACTTATTGGTGTATTTGGGGGCTGTTGTTTTGTTGAAACACTAATTTCAACAGAATTGCATCATGAAGTAGCATGACATCTGCAATTATTTGGATGTATTCAAACCAATCCATGACACTTTGGGAGCGATCAATAGATCTTATGCCATAGTATGAAAGACACTAACGACCTGCTTTAGTGTCCTCAGACTTTGCTGTGACTTGTATTCGGTGTTTGTCAGTCATAAGGGAAATATTCTAAATCAGAAAAATAAAGAATTTTGCTTTTGTCAGCCTGTAAAGCATTGCACCATTTTTCTCTGTAATCCAGCCAGTCTGTTCTTTGGCAGTTTGTAACTTGTTGTTCCGTTTTTTCCCCCCAACAATAAGACTTTGGGGATAGGCTTTTTACTGGTGGATTCTAATTCACAACAGCAACCTGTAACTTTCTAAAGTGAATTTGAAACTTACATTACCTTTATTTTATTTCTTTTTACCCGATGAGCACCATGTATTTGTCTTGACTACATAATTCAATGCTTTTATTATAAAAATTCTCTGTACTATATAACCTTATGCTGTGACAAAGCTGGTTACTATGACGAAACTTACCAGGTAGCAGGTTATCTGAGCACTGAAATGACACACAGCAGCATCTCCAGGCAGAGGGAAGACAAACACAGCCTCTAGAGGTTTGTCCTCCTTGTTCTCATAGTTCAGAGTGGAGACCAGAGTAGCTACATGGTCCTTCACCTCCAGCTGAGCATCAATGCTCTTCAGAGGAACTAAAGCAGCAAAACAAGGACATGATTAAACCATAGAAACTGTTTTGAAGTGTCTAATTAAACTGTTTAAACTTCCTATGGTTCTGCATTTTGTTTAAGACAAGTTCTGAGAAGAAACAAGTGAATCAATTAGATTAAAAAGAGAACATGACTGAGGAACAAACATAAAATTTGTTATTTCAGTTTGTTTTCTAACAGATAAGTGGTTCCTTCCTGTCAGTGACCAGACCACAGCAGTTCACCATCGTGCCTGTGGGAAATAAACGAAGAGGCGTGTAATGCTGGGAACAGTAGGAGGATGTTTCTGGGAAATTACGGTTATTCCAGTGATTCTTGAGAATAGGGACAAAATGGGTTTAAATTTACCCCATTTTTTTTTTTTTATTATTCCTCAAGCGTATCCATACAAATATGACAAATAATGTTTTGGAAATGAAAAGATGCAAAGGTGCAGGCTCCGAGTTGCAACATTTTTTTGAAAATTACATTTTTATTGGACTTGACCCAGAACTTTGTCATCACCATCTGACAGAAATAAATATAAAATAATTATTTAATTACCCTATTAGTGATATTTTTACTCGATTTTACAGACAAATGCTTCTCAAGAAGCAAAAGAAATATTTAAAACAAAAAACAACAAAAAGTCCATCTGACGGAGTTGACAGTGCATGATGGAGTTGACACAGAACTGAAGGTGGTGACAAACTAGTGAGTAAAATGAAAAACTTGGTACATGTGAAGTAATGCAATTCATGTAAAATACATTCAAATGAATTATTTGCACATTTAAGTGAGATTTGACAACAATTTCACTGAAAGAGTCACAAAAACTCTGATGGAGTTGACATAAGGAGTTGACGAAATGCCAAACTACCTCAATTTATATGATGTTATTCTGAAGGAGGCCATACTGTAGCTCGTCAGGTCCATGAAATCTTTACAGTTTACCAAAATTAA